AATGCTCCCAGAGGAGATGTATTGAAGGACCAAGCCGGGGTTGGCGCCTGAAGTAGTGGCGGCGATGTACGGAGACGGAGAAGCTTTGGCTTTGGCGGCCGACGTGGGTTCATGTACTTGTCCTCTGGGTTCATGGTTCGTATATCGGCCTTCCTGGAGCTCGGACTGTCTTGAAAGGAAGGTGTATGCCGAGTGTCGGGAAGGATAACGGGAACCTGGAGCACATTGAGCGGCTGACCGGGAAGCAACGGGCAAAGCGAGGTCACTGGCTCCGCTTCGTTAAAATACTCGACGTCGTTGTCCAACAAGTACTAGTTAGAACGTCAGTGTTGAGTTACGACGGACAGATTGAAGAACCCACATAATACCAATAAGTACCACCCATCTTGAGTCCACCAGACCGCGCTGGGGCCTGATGAGTGGGAGAGCCGTCACAGACTATGTCCGTAAATGTGTGGCATCCTCTCCAATGGCCTGGACCGACGCGGCGATCCCTTTCCATGGCATATGGTTTCGAGAAGTTATCCCATGACCCAAGCAGTTTGACGGACTTGACATTAGGACTGGTCGTACTGTATGGAGGGTCAGTTCAAGTCTAAGCGGGCTGTCGAGGGGAACATACAGCAAGAAGGTCATCAGTGTTGTTGAAGACATGATCGCAATAGATATCGCAATAGCTGAATAACCGAATAAACAAACGCAAGTAGAGAAATGCAGAAGATATATGCCGATTGATCAACGCTGAATTGCAAGTTTCAATGAAGGAAAAGTTTGAAGTCTTCCAAGCGATCTGAGTATTATATAGGAAGAGAATGAAAGACTGTCCGTTGTCTAGGACCAGCCCGGACAGCGCAAGTTGGTGAAGGCGAACTGAATGAAAGAAAAACGCCTCGATGTTTCGAATCTCGCTAGATGTCCGCTTGCTTTTTATGAGATCCAAGAGCTCGGTATCAGGGCTTGATTGCGCCGACGAATTGACAGAATTCAGACCGAATCCAAAGCTGTTAATGGTATCTGACAGACAAGTTCGGCTGCGACGCTTTGTAGTTGGCGTCTCAGTAGCCGCGACGACCACAATGACGGAAATTGGATGTTCCTGAGCGAGAGAGACAGGAGTGACGGGCGCCAATGAGCTTGATGGATGCGCAGCTAATGGAAGCGCCAGCGAGGGGGATCGACGAAACGGCGACAGTATATCAGCGCTTACGGCAGTTGTTGTGGTTTCAGGTTGGGAGGAAGAGATTGTTTGAGTGCTTGAGCACCCTCCACCGGAACTGAAGAGAGATCAAAAATTGACCGTTGGGATGGGACGGCCATCAATAGAAAATAAAATATGCGACGGGAGGTATAATAACCATTGAAACTTGAGCCATCATCATAAACAATCAACAGACAGGAGAAAAGCACCTTGATTATACGGTAGGATCCACTGGCTGCTGCAAGAACCACGTCACAGCCCTGTATGGCGATATCTGCAGGGGGGTGGAAGAAAACCAAGCGTCGAAGCTTGAAGAGGAGAAAAGGATTGGAAGAAATCCGAGAAACTACTCAGACTAGTGAAAAATAGCGACAGCACAGGGCCAGGGCGATGATAACTTAATTACCTTAAGAGGCTGGTTGTCAATATTCGGTCATCGGCCTAGCGAGACCGATTGAGTTCAGCTGAAAGTAAAGCCCTTGTTGAGGCCAATAATAGGCTGCGAGGACTTTGGCTCACATATAACGCCATTTATTATTAGTTAGTTATTATCCCCATCCTGATTACTGATAACCCTGCTTTGAATACGATCAGCAGCAGAGCCACAAATGCAGTCAGCCAGCCATGTGGTTGACCGGATAGTGGAGATTATTACCGCCGTCAGCTCAAGCCTTCTACTAACTACTGCTAGGTACACCCAACCCTAACATACTGCAGGAAATCAACCCTTCAATGACCTACAACATTCCTCTTTCCGATCTGTAGAATAGTCGTACCGACCAGCCAACTTCGAAAATGATCAATAAAAGAGAGATCTCCCACGTGAAAAACCATGTGTACTCTTTACTGTAGATATCGATCTATGGGTCATCTCCATATTCCCATCCGCTGGGCCATACCTTGGCAAAACACGTATTACCAGGGGCTCCTGCGTACCTAAGAAGTCAAGGTAGACATCAATCATTCTCCAAGGATAATCCAAGATGAAAAAAGATGTGTCAACTGCAATCTTGTCTACCATTTCAACACACAGAGTCCAAGTAGACTAGACTAGGACATGATCGGCGATGTCACACAGGGCCAGTCATGATAAATCAATCCCAACGCTATACGGATTACGGACAGACTCTGGACTACCTAGCTGAAGCATGTTTCACCGATCCCTGATCAAGCCAGATAGACTAATAAGAAAGCAGACATCCAGATCCAAATTGACCAGTCGGATTCCCCGCACACACTGAAAACCTCCTGGCGCTTACGGCCATGGCATGCAGGTACGCTCTTAGTGTGCTTCGGTGCCGGGCAACGGATTGCGGCAGATTGGGACACGTCAGAAACAGCCGACCATGGCGGTCAAACGGTTAAGTTTCTGTCATCCCCTGCGGAGTATTGATATCGCGGGATTTTACAAGACCTGATGTACGGAGTATGCCGAAAGCTTGTGAGTTGGGAGAATATCGTGATCTTGATTCCCATGGATCATCTTCAATAGTCCGGAGACGGCGGCGGATGGGTCCACTGTCTAGTGGTGGCTGAATGGACTCAACCAAATCTTCGAGCAATACGAGTACGGAAGATTCTTCCTTTTACCTATATTCCGAATGTGTTCAGCTGTACACCGACTTGGTTCGATTAATTTTGCCAGTTCAATAGGAACAGGACCCTGCTCATCTTCGAACAGCCCGGCGCTTACTGTGGCAGGTTACAGTCTACTCCCTTCACATGTGAAGAATAGCCCTGGCCAGAGCCTAGACTGGGGAAGTCTGAACCACAGCAAAGTCTGGCTGCTCGATTCACGCTGCTCGCAGAAGTAGAAGCATTAGATATGTGCGCCAAGTCCAAGCTGGAAACACAATAGCCGCCCTCAAGCTAATGAAACAACAACCAGAATAACAAAAGCAAAGAGCCACCACGTAGCAATCTCATCAAGCATTAAAAAAAGACACAACTGGCTAAAACGCCTTCCGCTTATCGTATTTCTTATGCACCGCGCCCATCGTGCACTTGAGGATGCCCTCCGCGCTCAGCGTCTGCCCGCGGCTCCCCCTCCACGGCACCGTATCGACAATGTCCCTCAGGCTATCCTCCTGAGCCATATGCCCCAGCTCATCATCCAGATCCTCCAGATACCTCCTCGCCCCCTCATCATCTCCAATCTGAAAGAACTGGATGCCCACCTGCCACGGCACAGCCCGACACGCATCCAACCGCTTCGCAACATCAACAATCACACTCTCCGCATCATCCGTAAATACCCCGTCCGTAATCGCAATAATATTCATCGGCTTCACGAACCTTGCCGGATCCCGCAGGTTCCCGTCCTCGTCCGTCGCGGCCGCCATCTTCTCCACGCGCCGCAGGTACGGGGTCAGGATCTGCAGCAGCCGTTTTCCGTACGGCGTTGGCCCACGCGGCCGCACGCTGTTGAAGATCTCCTGCACGTCTGCGGCGGTCGTGATGTTGTGGTATGCGCCCGTGGAAGTGGCCGTTGCCTCGCGGCGGTGGTTGAGAAAGTAGATGTCGATTCCGTCCTGGTCGTACCGCGTGCAGATGGGCGCGATGGCGGCCAGGGCCTCCTCGGCTTCTTTCCACCGCGCGCCGAGCATGCTGGAGCTGTCGTCGACGACGAAGATCGTGTCAAACTCGCGGAGGAAGGCGTAGGGTGTGTCGCCTGCGCCGCTGGTGAAGGAGGCCGTCGAGCCCGGTGTATGTGCGGCTGGTGCTGGTGCTTGCGGGGTGTAGGGAGGCGGAGACCAGACATCGACGTTGCTGGTCTGCACGTAGGTGTTTCCTTTGTTGGGGGTAGACCTGGTTCCTTGGTGGGTGGTCGGTCTTGAGGCTGAGGTGCTTGAACTGCCTGCTACTCGGGAGTGACGATGACCCATTGTGATTTCTGGATTGTCGTTGATAGTATAAGAGGGTGGGAGCTGGTGTGGTAGAGATTCCGGCGCGAGAGATCCACCAGGAGAAAGGGAAGGGGGAGGAGATCGAGACGTGAATCTTCCAAAGAGAAGCGGCATTGAGATCGGGAATCTGGATGATGCTCGTGGTATGCAATCGGCTCCACAAAAGAGGGAAAATATGATGCCTTTCCTTGGTTGTGAATGGAGTCGGAGTCAGAACTCACTGAAGAGGCAGTCTCAACCACAGTTCTATGGATCTGTCAACTAATGATCTCATGGTTTGTTCTCTTGCATAGGTACGAATACTACTTTCTTTTATCTACTCATGACCCTTAGTATCACGAGCAATGAAGGCATATACAAGGCAGACTAGGACTATCGTGCCATTATATTACCACATGGGAAACTGTCTATGTGCCCAGGCTAAGAAGGCTGAGCTTAGAGAGTCAGGATCTAGGACCAAGCCTTAGTAGGTAATACAAGGGCTGAACCCCGGATTCCGAGACCAATATACGAACGACTACTCAAGTTAGACAAAGCAATGAGGCTTAGTCGAGTAGTCAATAATTCTGACTTAGTTACAGTAACCCTTGCTCCCGTATTGTGGTGTGCAGTGGGTAAGCCTTGCAGCACTGCCCCTCCGCAACTGTGAACAAGGCTGTGTAGCTGCCTCAGGAACAAATGAAACCAGAGCGTGCAGTCCACCAGAAGGCTTTGATCTAAGCTTTATGAGATATGGATGAGGTGGATTATGTATATGAATGTGTCATTTACATCATGTACAGCATAAATCATCTGATAAGGCGCCTCACGAGACAGAACGATCGTTCATCCAATACGCCAGATCGCCCAAGACTATACACCTATATTCAATCAAATCACTCCCACAAAGGAAGCAATTATTCAGCCTCCAAATGCTTCCAAGTAGTTGCCAAAACTATGTTCTTCACAATGGCGGAGCTCTTCTCCTCAATGAGCACCCCGTCATCGCCCACGCCGTCAAAGACCCCCGCTTCGGATTCTAGAACATCAATCAAAGCAAGAGCCTGATCGATCCCCATACCGTGCCCGATGAGCCGCAGACAGTCAATGCCCCACTTGCGCAACGGGTGATTCTTCCCCTCGCTTGCGCCAGCCATTACCAGTGGCCACAGTAGCACGAGACCTGCGGTGTGACTCTCATTGATGGAGACAGAGCCTGTTTGGCTCTCTCCCGTGCTTCCAACGCCAAAATGGTAGGGTACGCTGGCGCAGATGTCCGTAGCCAACTGCCGTGTGGTGCTGCGGATCTTGAAACAGTGACTTTGCAGTTCGCTGGGAGATGCCCCCGCTGACTTGACGAACAATCGCCGCAGGCAGCTCAGTATTATCTCGGAGACGATGATGCGCGCGCAGCGATACTGGTTCCATGTATGGCAAATCCAGAGATCGCTGTAGATGTGGTATTGGTTGTTGTATGGGAGTATGCCACGACAGAGTCTCTTGAACGCGGCGTCGGAGTAAGTATTCTCGACGGTGGTGTACGAAAAGTCTGGAGGAAGAGATGCAAGCCAGGCTAGCAGTTCTGCTTCGATGTCGTAGGCAGCTGCTAGAATCTCTTGATTATCTGTCATGTACTTTTGTCTGACATCGGCGCGAAGGTTGGCCAATTGGCCTATGATGTAAATCAGGCGATCACCGTAAGCATCTGTCTGTGGACGGAGAAACATGCCAAGTGGTGCACATTCGAGCACCGATGGTGGCACGTGTACGCTGAGCTGTAAGCAGCTCGTAATCTGCGAGTGTCAGCTGTCATTCAAACAAAGATACCTCAAGCCGCAGGAGCCAGCGAAGCACGTACTATCTGAAACCGCAGCTGGACGAACAGCTTCAGACCCTCTTCATTCTGTACTTGCTCTGGACCGCGCAGCTCAAGAATCGCCGCGGCTCCGCGAAGATGGTTCGTCCACTTTTCAATATTTTGTGTTGTCCGGCTGGTAACGACCTGGAATATTGTCTGAGCCATCCATGAGCAGAAAAAGAGGGTTCGTCAAGTCCGCTTACCTCAAAAATTGCCAGCATCAAGACCGCCCCCAGTGTCGAATTGGCTTTCACTTCTGCGGGATCTGAGACAGCAAACGCTAACATTTGCAAAGCGCAGCCATATTCCGCTCCTGCAGCAATAACCATCGACGTGTCTTGTCGGACCCGTCCCAGCATCGCCGTCCCCACAGCACCGACACTCGCCTTCATAGCCTCCTGGCTCACAGAAAAGCCCGAGCTGGCAAGAAAGTCGGGACGTAGATCTATCATCCAGTGGAACCCAGGCCACCGATTGTACTGAATGAAGTAACAAACCGCCTCATCCTGCGTGGTCTGGTGCGACGGCTGGATCCTCCTCAGCGGCTGGCGCTCAATCAGCTCAGTCTGCACTGGGCTCTCATCGCCGAAGTCAATCACATCGCTACTCCGGCTGGCCGAGACCGTCGTCGCACCGGATGTAGACTCGGGGCTACTCTCACTCGGCGAAAGGGTGCGCCTGGTCTTCCTTGCCTGCCTGGACTTGCGCGCGGCAGCACTATTACGGGCCTTCCGGACAACCTGCTGACTTTCATCACGGAACATCAACGACAGCTCGTCCCGGTAGCCGGGACAGACCCGGTTGCCTTTGAGACATTGCGAACAAGCAGGCCGTTCCTGGTCGCACCGGATCTTTCTCGATCGGCATTGGCCGCATCCTTTGCTGGGTTTCCCACAGAAGACCATAGTGAACCAATAGTTTTTCTATTCTGTTATTCAAGAACAAAAAGCGGCCGGTCGCACAGGCACAGTTGTGGATGCAGAAACCCGTTCCTGAATAAGTAAGCTGTGCGAGCAAGTGATTGGTACCACCGGCGGGCACAGCGGAGAAGGCGGGTCGCGGTGTATGGTCTGAGCCTTGCAGGTGCTAGCGACAAAGCTATCGCGCGGTTGAGAACAAATTATCGAGATGGAAGATCGTGTTCACTACTACAATGAACCAGGATAGAATAGAGATGCTCAAGAGGGGGATCCTCGTCATGGTGGTCCGGTTCCTGAAACCTCAGGGGCGTGCACGACCCCACACGACCCCATTTGGCCAAGTTGTGGGGTTAAACTCAAAGTTCGGCGGTTTCCCGAGGTAATCACTTATCACACGACTGTGGCTCTGTGTCCAACTTTCAGGTTAACTGTCTTAAGTACCTTATGGAGTTTCAGATGTCAGACTACATGGAGGTCGATCCCTCATACAAGTAAGGAGTAGCCTGTGCGGGGTATCCATTAACTTGCCTGAGGTATGGTCGGCCAAGAAAGTCCACGCTCTATATTATCATCTCTCCTCGACCATGTATCTACCGGAGGTCTCGGAAAAGTACCTTCGTGTGGCTGTAAGGCTGAGCTCGTAACATCCCAGCGCAGGCATATGTCACTCCGATCACTATGATCCTATCACTATGATCCCGAGGCAGCGAGCCGGTACTCCTCGGGAAAGTCCACAGGCCACTTATCTACCCCGTCCAACATTGCCAGCGCCATACCGCCGCTCAGATGCACCTGAATGTGACAATGAATCAAGAATGCGCCAGGATTCACAACTTGATATCTTATCGCCAACCAAGTGGGGCCAGATACACTGGGAGGCGTTACGAATGTGTCCCGTATTTGCGGTGTCTTAAAGTTGAAGCTTTCCGGAATGTACTTCATCGCCTCGGCCACTGAGGTATAGTTGAAGACTCCATTTCCTTGACCAATGACGAAAAACTTGTTCGAGTGCTTGTGAATAGGGTGTGGTGGCTGTAAAGGGTCGACCACTCTGAAAATGAGATCGATCCAGGTTCCGTTACGCGTTGAAATCGAGAGGTCGGGCTTGGCGGCGGAGCGATTGAACAGAAGCGGAGGCGATTCCTCCACGGAGAGCGGGAAGCTTGAGTTTCCAAGCACCCAGCGGTAGGACGCGTTAAACCGGGCGACGTCTAGGAAGAAGGTCTGGGCAACCTGTTGCGCCGGTACCTCCACAGGGAAAGGGTTCACCATGCTCTCATCGAATATCACGACGTCCGCTGTTGTGTTTGCGCCGGTGATGTCGATTGATGGCTGCGAAGGACGACATTGAGCTTTGAAAGGCGTGTTGTAAGACAAGCTCACTTTGCCACTAATAAGTTGGTTGATTCCGGCGTTCGCTATACGCACGGTGTAGTCACCAGCCGGTTTATCCAGCTTCACCATGATTGAATAACGGTTGCCGTTGGCAATGGTGACGGCATCCACTCGAACGGGGACGACATATCTTCCATCGATGGCGTATATATACATGGGATGTTCGTCGATTGAGAAAGTGAGCGTTGACACACCAGCAGCACTGATTAGGTCAAAGCTGGCGTACGAAGCGAGTGGGTCAACCAGGTGTAGCTCGCTCGAGCCCTGAGACGGAGTACAGCCAGAGTACACAGTCGGTGGACTGGCACTAAAATTATGGGCGAAGTTTCCTTGGAGCAGTGGAATCGTCGGGGGAGCGCAGCTGGGAGAGTCAGCTTCAAATAGATAAGTTGAAGTGCCGTGTCTCTTTCACACTTACCCAATATCAGTCAGCGAAAAATTTCCCAGGAATGCCCACTTTGTCGCACTATACTGATCTAATGTATGGCGGTCCAGACACTGTACCGAACCCCTTCCATTGACTAATAACGCATTCACACAGTATGCGTCTAGTCCACTTGCCTCTTCCGCGTGCCACAGCTCCTCGGATGTCAATTGGCGCCAGTCACTTAGCACTAACGGGGTTGTTCTTTCTTCGGCTCGACGCATGGCCTTGACTTCACGCGTACGATTGGTTATCAACCTAAAGGGCTTCTCCACTGCGTCATCAGGACGGATATAAATCGCTCCGTATAAGCCATCATCAATATGCCCTCTTCTGTGTGCGTGATACATATAGCTGCCATACTGTCCAGCATTCCACTTGTAAAGAAAACTGCTGCCGGACGGAATTGGTCTTTGTGAAAGACCAGGGACTCCATCGGACCAAGGCGTTCCCGTTTGGTCAATTCCTATTAGGCGAGAGGCGTCAGCCTTGCCTAGCAATTGTTGTCATTGAATAGGATTACCATGAAAATGGACTGCGGTAGTAAACGGAAGTTGATTATCCACCATAAACTCAACATCATCCCCCTGCCGCAAGTACAATGGCGGAGCTGGAAATTGGCCGTTGGTGAGAATCATCTTCCGGGCAATACCAGCTGGAGCCCAGTCCTCCCATGTCAGAGTGATTTTGAAGCGCACCACACTAGCTGATCCCCATGAAACAAGGCATAACAGAAGCAGGGCTAGAAATGCTAGTCCATCGCGAAAGGAGCCCATGGCGAGGACTGAACAGATGTCAACTCAGCGCAAATGCAACAATGTGAGATAACATAATGCAACAGCGGGAATCGATGCTTTATTACCTCCGAAGAGCGTACCAGGCTGCAGTGTCCCGGTTCATCTCTGAACAAGTGGCTAGGATGGCTGATAAAATTTCCGATTGTGCGCAGTGTGACCTCGTCCAGATGCAAGAAGACCAGCCCAGGTTCATTGATTAGCTGCACGATTCCATGAGCCAAATGAGCCTCCTCAGCTCAGCCATATTGTGCAAACCGGATCGCCGGGTCGGTGGCTGATCGATTGGGAAATATCACGTCCATATTGAATAATAGACTCTGTTAATTGAGATGTCCGGCAAATCACTTCGAGCCACGGCATTGTCGGTGTGGTTCGATTCTCGCTTTGTTGACCATATCTCTGACGTGCAAGCACACGGTTCGCCGAGTCAGCGAAATCAGCCTTCTCGAATCAATAGATCTGCAATCGGGCCGCATAAATCACAACCGTGCGCACAGTAGACCATTCCATTGTAGCATGTAAGCCTGCAGATCATTGATACCATAGCGCAACTAATGAGTAGTGATTGCCGAGAACCTCAGAGCCTCTCGGATAAGTTGATGCGGCCATCGGTAGTTGGTACGGTCGTACGGATGCGTGTGGTCTTAATGGGCAAGGAGAGGGCGAAGGAAATTCAGAGCAGTCAGGAAGGTAGAATCAAACAAGATTAACATTTTGTCGGCTTTTGGCAACAACTCGCGGATACAATTTGGGGTGGTGGGCTTAAGTTGTTGTTAGTGTTCAGAAAAGGGCGGTTGCAGTTCGGCAAGGTCTCGGAAAAGTTCGACAACGTCTCGGAAGCTCTACGGTGAAGTAGAGACCGTAACAAAAATTGATGGCCAGCCCGCCTCCGTCAGGCAGATCTGGTTCGAAGTTCCGATCTATACCTTTTCCTCAGGGACCAAGGGAATAGTCAGGAGTTAAGGGAATTAGTTCAAGCCCCATGGGGTTCGGCAAATATATGGAACGGTCACAAAAGCCTACATATTCCACTTGGTCTTATACAATCCCCCTCAGGACGCCAGTTTAGGGAAGAGTAGAAATGTCTGCATACCATTTGGATCAACTCAATATCCTTAAAGGACGGCTAAATAGATGCCCTCATGCAATGTACTGTCCTGATATGGACGAAGGTCTTTCAAAAGGGCCATCCGAATCGACTCAGACCTTCAGTGGCACTGCTCAAGCGTTCAGAAGAAACACCGAAGCTACGTGCTAGAAACAATCATCCATCCCCGCTCAGTCTTTGGTTTCTGGTTTTTGCCCTCATATGGTCTACCAGGAACAAACTCAGGCGCATCCCCACGAAGCTTCGAGGCCGGAGTCGATTCGGCGAACATCACCCCTTTGGGACTCTTTCCCTCTGAAGACGGCGAGTATATCTCTGGAGGTGGCGAATCCGTGAAGCTCGGGTGAGGCGTAAAACGGGCTGATTCGAACTCCTAGCGTTCAACAGGTCAGTATCCAAAGGAGCCGAAATAATGGATTGAAGGAGCGAGTCAACAAGTTTGATCAAACTTACCAGTCGTCCGCTTGCCGTGCGAATTTCACGCAGAATCATCTTGTACTGGTTAACTTGCTCCCGCATCCGCTGCGCAAGAATAGGAGGAGGAGTAGTCATCATTGCATGAGTTGGATTCATGGCAGGATGGGGCCCCATGAAAGGCTCTTGCTGCGCATAACCAGGAGGAGGACTGTTCATCATTGCGTGAGCCGGATTCATGACGTGGCGCCCGGTCATGACAGGTCCTGGCTGCGCATACACAGCAGGCGGAGTGGCCATCATTGTATTGGGTGGGATCATGGTGGGCCGGCCGGTATTGACCGGTCCCGGAAGTCCTGGGACCCAGGCATTCACCGGTTGATGATGCTGATAAGTCAAAGGCTGGTTATTGAACGCGTTGATGCGAGGTCTGGGGGCAGGTGCTTGCGCGATCTCAGGAGGAACGAAGGGGACTCTCGGATCTCTAGGGAAGCGTTCTGCGTCTTGCACGAGGACTGGTGGGAATCGCTCGATGGTGCGGCCTCTCATTTGGTCTGGAAAATTGATCGTGTTGGTCGTGTTGCCAAAGTCGTTTGGCTGCCACTCGGCCATGTTAGCTACTCGACACACAAGAGACAGTCATAGCAGGATTGTTTCGATGGTGTTTTGGAAAGACTCGAAAGACAGACTCACCCGGTAGCGCTGATTCCTACGCTCCTTCCGCATGATGCTTGTTAGGGAGAATACTGAAGGATAAAGTTCAGGACGAGTTGATGCAGCAACGTAGGAAGTTGGAAAGTTGTTGTTGATTATCACTCCAGTATTGGGTAAGAAGAGGGCGACGTGAAGGTTCTGTTGCACACAGACAGTCAATGGTCATTCACAATATCTGGAAAGCCTTTGCCTAGAAGGGTGTTATGCAAGGCCACTTGAATGGACAAACAACCTAAGTATAACAAGTCTTTGTGATTCTGTCTTCATGTTTATCTCGCAGGAAAGACAAGTCGCTACAAAGCTGAGACTCTTTGTCCTTTGTGCCCTCAACGTCGCCTCTGTCTATCTTGTTGCGTGAGGAACATAGTGTTTATGCCTCTATTGGGCTTCAGTCTGATTCATTTTGGGGAAACATATTCAGAGCAGTTTAGAAGTTCAACTACACATCTCGTTGAGTAGGCATTTACTCATGATCAGTTCTTTTGCAGGGCTACGCCCCGTTATTTTCAATTTTCTAGTGTTTCTGCGGCTTTTTTAATTCATCATTGAAAGCAGAAAAGACCTGGGCTGCAGCGTTCACTCAGACAGAAGCCTTTTTTTTTGTGATTTTTGTTTTTTTGCCCAGTTGAAAATCAAAGGAGCATACAAGCAGAAGGAGCAACTGAAACAACCAACGAAAAGGAAACCATCATATGCAACCTGAGTTAGGGTTGAATGAAGGACAACGAAGAGATAAGTAAAGAAACGTGTGAATCGACTCAACGATGACCGAGGCCGGGGTATCAAAACGCAAGACAGAAACAGATGTCATTGCTCATTCATTCGTCAGTCATAAGACAGAAATCAGGTGAAAGTGATACTCCGTAATCGTCATCAGTCGTGCAAGTCATAAGTTGACGCTCTAAGAGGCGACTTTGGTCCGAGCTTGAAGGAACTTCTCGTAGAGAGTTCGCTCCGCAACGGTTTTCTTTTCCAATTTCTTGCGTAGCGTCTCCTCGGCTTCTGTAACAACCGCACGCGCGTTGTTCACAGTATCCAGTTGATGCTTGAGCGACAGAGTTTCCTGTGCACATAATTAGCGAAAGGGCCAGTCATAAGAGCTCTACAACAAGAAGACTTACCCGAAGCATCACTGCTCTCTTATTTCTGTCCGTCTCCTCACATATCTCTCGGAAGATTTGAGGAATGAAGGCAGAGATCTCCTCATCTTTCTGCTCCTTAGGAAGATTCCACCAATCTGCATTCGAGGCATGGGCTGTCTGGGAAGGAGCAGGGCCAGGAGATTTAGAGATCGCTACCTGTTCTTCTGCGATCTTTCTGGCCTGTGATGCCTTCTTGGAGCCGGTGACTGCATTGAGATGACGAGAAAGACGGGTCGAGCGCTGCGGGCTCCCAGTAGAAGCTGCCATCGCTGAACTTCTCCGGGACCGGCCATCTGCAGCAACTGGCGTTTGCAACCTAGGGTTTGTGGCCGCTCTAGTACGCGCTGACTTGGTAGGCCTAGCAAACGAGGGAGTCTGGTATTCCTCATAGACACGTGGTGAAAGGGCCGGGATCGAAGATAATGAGGAAGTAGGAGTCGGGAAGGCCCCGGGAGAGACATGGATAGGGACACTAATGCTGCGAGCACCCTTGCTCCAACCGGCTCGTTCGGGCACCCTGGGGGACTTGATTCGCGACTTAGAGGCTGCCATTGCCGATTCCAGTTTACCATCATCCTTATTAACACGATCGACTGCGCCGCTTTGAGTCTGGTCTCCAGACTCTTCTACCTCAGCGTCGGTGCTCTCCTCATTCTTCATACGTGCTTTATCAGCGGCATTTTTATGCTTGAAAATGTTGCGGAAGCTGTCAAGCATGCGATTGCTCCTCGAGTCTGGGAAGCGGCCTTTTCCGCGCTGTGTGCTACGTTTGTTTTCCGGCACAATATCGTCGAAGGTCACAGTCCGCTCCAAATCCGTTCCGCCGCCTGGGTTTGGTATATTGGGAGTCCGAGGAGTGGTCACGGCAGACTCTCCCTGGCTAGCGGGAACCGACTGTAGAGAGGACGTCCGGGTGGGATGCGGGCTGTCAGCGGCTGCTGCCCCCTTGACCCTCGCATGCGCCGAAAGACCACCACCAGTCATGGACCCGGTGATTTCTTTTGATTCTTGGCCAGTACCCTTACGGACAAGGCCAGCTTTCAGTTCAGGCAAAGGTTTGTCCTTGTTCAAGAAGGCACTATGTTCATCGGGAATCTTAGGCACCGTAGGCACCACGTACTGAGACTGAAGTCCATTCGGACTGGGATTGTGGAGATCAGTTAAGCTTGGGCTGCCCACCGGCTTTCGTGGAATAGAAATCTCATGTCCACTGAAGTCCCTTCTGGAGATATTCTCAAGAGATGGCCGCGGGCGGCAAAAGTTACGAGAAGCTTCAGGGGTTCTAGCAGGGCTAGCCTTTGCTTCATGACCTCCTTCAACCGATCTGGAACTCAGCTCACCGAGGCGTGCGTTGTGAGGGCTACCCTGTGTCGCAGTGCAGGGGACGTCTCTTTTTAGATCAGGAGACGGTATCGAAGACAGCTTCGGGGTGCCCATGATGACGTTTTCCGCCGACGCCGCGATCTGCAGACGTGGCCCGTAGAAACATTGAGCAGATCGCTCGAATTGCCGACGATTATCGCCAGTGTAACCGGTGGGCCTCTCAAGCTCGTCGTCATCATCCTGCTCACCATCCCAGTCGCCACTGGAGGACGATGTGGATGAATAGCGGGAAACCTCGTTTGCTATGTCTTCATCTCGTATATACCCCCACAGAGTATTGATCTGATGCTGAAAAGGCGACACATGACGCTCGCAAGTACTTTCAGCGACACGGGTTTCACCAGCCTCCTGTCCAGTAGAGCCACCTTCAGGCATATTCTGATGCTCCGTGCCAACCTTGCGGACCGCAACAGGAATTGAGCTGCGGTGCTCAGAAGTCACTCGCGTGCCTTTCTGTTGGCTTCCTCCAGTGCCCAACTTCTGGGAAGCCGGGGCAGGGATACGGGTTCCATGGCTTGCGTGTCGAGGTGTATCTTTGGTAGATTTTTTGTCTTTGCAATGTCAGCAAGAGCTATCAAGTGAGAAGGACGTGCGTACCTTGATTGAGAGCCTCACGTCTTGCAGACTCAGAAGAGATTGTGTTGTCTTGGTCTGATTTTGCAGGGGATACAGCGTTATCTGCGATTCTCTCCACCACTCCTGCATACGAGTACATGTTAGCATCTCTGCATATAATGTATGAAGTTGCTGATGGTTTAAGACTAAGTTACTCCTCAGCCACCACGGACTTGAGATAGCTGAAGAGACAGATAGGAGCACAGCAGCTCTTCCACATCATCGCAGGGTAATAGAAGGATGAAGAGAGTTATGAGTATGGAAACAGCAGTGCCTTACCATCAGAACCCGGATTATCAGTGTCGTCTGCGGTGTGATTGCCACCAGTCGAAGAATCAACAAAGGGGTCCTTTGACGCCGAACCTGGTTCCGGTGGCATCCTGGCTTTCTTCTGGATTCTCAGCGGAGTGATGGTTAGGTCAGAAGAAGTATCTGAGAAAGAAGATCGAGGTGAAACCTCGTGTACGTTATTGGGAGAAGTATGATATTGAAGGATGGATGAAGAGAGTGAAAGTGGACGACTATTCTGGTGCTGAAGGAAATAGGAAGTTGCTAAAGTCTCAGTTTGGGTGATGCCTTCGCCAGGGTTTCTGAAATTGGGATGTGTTTGAATAAGAGAGGCCACATCTGAGAAGAACAACAGGGACTGGCGCACTGTGCAGTCCTCGTCTTCATTCACTTTCGTAGGGCCGGAGCCGTCTTCGACCTTTGTACTAGTGCCAGCCTCTGGGAAAAGCTCTGCGAGCTTCGGAGAATCTGCCGCTCTGCTGTACACTGAGATTTCAGAGTATCTTCGACAGTCCCCCAGTGTGATGGCGCTTCCTATCTTCTGAGAGTGAGTCTTCCCTGGTCACAGGTCTCAGGTCTATCCACATACAGACAAAGTTGACAGCGGTCTCTTTTGAAGCCTAGGTAGACCAAGGAACATCGAGGCTCGCCTGAGCTCTTTGATCTCCTTGATATGATAAATTGGCTTGCACTGTGGGCTATCCACTCAGCGTCCCCTTGAATCTTACGACAAATGTCCTTGACAACACGTACCTCAAGAAGTCGTTCTTGCGCATCCTTACGCATCGCCTTTACAGAAGTCTTCAGCGCATGCAACGTCCTGAGCGCTCTGATATTGCTAAGGTTCTTCACGACACCTCTCACGCGGGCTTTCCTGACTTGATACCTCTTTCTGATCTCCTTCAGCATCCTCTCTTTTCGTGACTCTTTCTTGATCTCGACCGGTTTTGGCCGAAAGAAAAGCGGTTCAATCCCCATAATCTTAGGAATAGCAGGACCTGTATATTGACGCGGTGGCCGATACTCGACAGGGTCAATCTTGGCCGGAGTGAACAGCATAAATCGTGGGGCTTCCTTCGGCTGGGACTCGCCATCCTGCTTGCCATTCGATTCGTTGCTCTGGCTCTCGGGGACCTCGCTGGGAGGCAACTCATTCGCACCTTGCTTCAAGTTCGGTGCTGATGCTCTGCTTCTAACACCTGGTACATAGTTTTCCTTGATTGCCTTACGCGATCTGCCGCTGGCAGGAATATTTATGGCACTTCTTTTTGTCCTGAGATTGGGAGCTGAGCGCTTCCCTTTCAACTTCGCTGAACGTGGGTCGTTCTTCATCTTGAATTGCCTGGTCAGCTGCCCTGCGAGCAGTCAAAGATTTCGCCTTACAGGCTATTCTCTCAAGAGTTATCTATCAAGCGTTATGTCCCAGCAATCGAAACACAGGAATGGGAGATAAGCAGGGAAGTATACCTGTTTGGCCTTGGTTGTCCTATGTTTGAGCACAGTCAGTATCTACACAAGACCACAAACATGCGCGAAGTGTTCAAGGCACCATGGTGTTCCTGGAGACGAGAGCTGAGACGACAGCAAGACGACTTATCCAGTGCGCTGAATGTTGCTCTGGATCCAAATGAGGGCTAAGCTGATATCTCAATCCTAAGGCAAAGAAGCATATGATATTAAGATAGCTACCAAGGAAGTCAAAGGAATGGAGTGTTTCCAAGCAGACATGCAGATAATAACAGATTTATTAAAAGAACACAGTGTGCGAGAGCAGACGAAGATATCCTTCACTTCACTGTAGGCACAGGCTACCTAAGCGAGGCGATTCCTATTTGGGAAACCAACTACGTGATAGAGAGCACACCTCAGGCACCCCCAATTCACGGTCATCTTACTTGTGTTTGTTTTTTGCTTGGGGTCGTCTATGCTCTCCTTGAGATGCAAGTTGAAATCAAACAATTAGCATGGAAGCAGCTTTTTTGGCCTTTCTATCCTTCTGATCCTGGGATCTTGTCAAATATACGGGAACTCAGCAAGTCCGTCGACGGCCCAAGCTGACCCTGACTGTAGGGATGATCGCATGGAAATCGAGGCCCATGGACATATTGCTGTTATCTGGAGAATAGGGGAGCAGAGTTTCTTCGTATACTGGTGCTCCTGTTGCGCGTACCTGGAGTATTATTGAAAACCCACCAAATTTCTCGTTTACAAGGTGAGTAGAAATCCGTTAGCATCACATTTGTTTTGCGGTCGATCCGGGTCCCTCGGTGTCGACGTAATGCCCTCTTTTTCGTTTCACGGCGCTTCGTGCATCTTCTGAGCCGGCCTGCGTTCCTTCGCTGGGGACCTCATCCACCCACTCAGTCACTTCCCATTCTATTGTCGTCGAGCTGTCATCACTGACCCCTACACCGCGCCTTGTCTTCATTATGCGGCCCAGTCGACTTCCCTCAATCATCTCCTCAAACCAAGGTATACCCCGCGTCGTACCCCGACGGTAGCTCCGAGTCGGGGCAGGCGCGCCAGCCCGCGAAGGCACGACAACTGTTGAATGGGCGGATGAAGTTTGCGTATGTTCGGCTGGACTCACAGTCACGCCCATCTTCTCCTCTTCCTCTTCTGCTTCCCCGGCCTCTTCCTCCTCTACTTCGCCTTCATCCGACGATCCGGGAAGAATGTCGAGGTCCTCCAGCATGCGTTGAGCCTCGCCGTACAGACTGCCGATCGTCACAGACATATAGTCCGCCTCCTCTCGCGGAATCTCGCTCCAGTATGTGAGCGGGGTGCCGCAGTATCCGCAGAAGATGCGCTGGGTGTGAGGCGCATGATGAGGGGTAAAGACCCGACGAATGGTGGCATGGGTTTCATCAGGAAAATAAGACTCGGTGTGGGATTGGTACCAGCTCAGGGGAACTCGCAGCCATGCCGTGAGAGGTGATCCATATGATTTTCCTAATTTATATCAGTCTTGCATTGATTTGGAGGGGATACAGGGGATGGCATGACTCCTTGGCCGGAATACATACGTTGATCCCGGCTGCTGTCAAAGTATATATGAGCGTGGTCTATCACATTATCTGGGATGTCAATCGAATACTGATTGCGACCACATAAGCAGGAGCCGCGAAGAGGCGCATGAGTGCTCATATTCTTAAACAAAGCTATTATCAAGTGTGGACGTCGTAAGTTGAGCTTGTCTAGTATGAAGTCATAGATCGACGCCGAGACTTCTGATTAAATAGCAGCTGTGAGCAGGATGACAGGGGAAGACAAAGCTAGAAAGATACAGGAAGCTGTTTAGAAGCAGTGTCAATGAAGAAAGAACGGGGAGCATTGAAGTGGCTCTGAATTGCTTGTTCGTATGGGAAGATATTCGACAACGGTACCGATGACGTGCAAGAGACCTAGACAGCGGATCGCCCAGAGGCTTGGCCAACCTCATTCGGCGGCTAACGGCGACGCGAGATTTCTTTTTTTCGACTAGTGTCTTTTGTCGAGAAAACGACTATACTGTGCAGCGGGTACGAAGTAGCTAGGACTTATCTAGTTAGTGAAAATCAGCGAGAGGCCAGGAAGCCAAGAGTAGAAACACTGAAAATTGGGGTTTCGAAGCAGATATGGGGATCCGGGATCGATTCTCCGCACGCTACTAGGTTTGGGTGGAGGATGGCTGGCTTCCTGAATCCTTGGATCCTCTAAGAACCAGAACCAGAGCCAGAGCCAGAGCCAGAACGGTCTTCTCTTCTTTCCCTCGACGTGCTTTTTGACTTCTACAACCCTCAAGACTCCAATCCAGTAATTCCTCTAACCCGGTCACTCATTATTCCGTGATTCTGATTTTCCGCTTGTTTGTTGTCGTTCTTCAGTGGCCTTTGTATATACCACTGGTCCTCCGCATCCGTGTCACATGAAAAAAAGACAGTCACATGCTTCAAACTGTCTCAGCAATTTAATCGCAAAATAATCTCACCACCAATATAAGAAGGGAAAAAGGGGAAAGCAACATGCCATCTGCACAACCACCAGCATCCCTCGCCTCCAGCTCCTCCGAACCTTCCTGTTCGCCCATTGCCGCCAGCGCAAGCACAACAGCAGAGGACGCACATACTCGCTCTTCCACCACCCCCACCGGCCCCTCATCCTCCAAGCAAGCGGCCGTCTCAGGCACAAGCACAGCGACTGATCGGGATAAACCACGCCTCACAGAACAAGAAAAGAAGAACAACCACATCGCCTCAGAACAGAAGCGACGCGCTGCGATTAGAGAGGGCTTCGATCGGCTTACGGAGCTGGTGCCAGGGCTGGAAGGCCAGGGCCGGAGCGAGAGCATCGTGCTCCGCAAAACAGTGGATTTCATACACATGAAACTACAGGAGAGGCAAGAGCTTATTGCTGAGATCGAGAGCAGAGGCGGACACATTGACGATGCGTTTCGAACGTGAGGAGCATCGCATCCCAATGCGCTGAGGGGATTCGTGGACACCAGCCGAGGCCTCGGCATTGCGGTTGCGGGTTGTTGTCGCTGACTGCCAGACGTGGGCAAAATAGGACGCAACCACATTTTCATGGGTTATGACTTTGTGTTATGGAATATGTGTATTGTTTGGTGTATGCGATAAAAAATCTGGGCAATTACCTGCCTGGTTTTGGTGCTTTTTTCCCAGCGAAAATTGGGGGTGGTCGCTGAGTTTCTGGCAATGCTTGGAACGCAGGCTGGATAGTTATGGCGCTCTGGGGTTTGCTTTTGTCACATTTTTCTCTTTGAGAGTCGCATGCAGTAGAGCGACTCCCTGTTCTCTGGTCGGCTCTTGTCGTTTGAACTTGATACCTTGATATGGACTTTGACGAATGCATAATATTACCGATGTGAAGTCTGTAAAGCTGAACCTTACTGTTCTACTTGCAATTTTTGTCATGCGCCGACATTGAATAAAAGATTCACTTCAAATCTAACTTGGCCAGAATTGTTCCTTGACATGTGGCATACTCTTATGTCCAGATCAAAATCCACAGCGAACAACTTTATCAATAATACATATTGGAATCTCTATAATACATAGTCAAGCCACATCATCACGAGTATTCAAATGCAACGTTCCACAATCCAGAAGTCCCAGGTGAAATAAAACATATGAGGAGATGAGAAGTGTCCTGTTAGATCGTATAACGCCGCCCAATGCAATCTCCCTGTCAAATTCAAAGCGGATCGGCTGTGTGAGACTCGCCTAACAACACTGGCTGAGTCTACACAGGGGGTTTTAAATGGACTGAGAAACAAAAATAGGTCTAGTAGCTGTCTCTGTCGGCATGCCGGCGGCCTCTGGAGAAATCATTGTCGTTGCGGCGATTGCCAAACCTTGACTCGCGGCGGTCGAAATTGAACCCGCGGTCACGACGAGAGACAGTAGCGTAGTTATCACGATCGCCTCTGCGATAGTCACGTCCTGTCGGAATGTCGTCGCTGGAACGGCGGTTGTCCGCAACACGAACACCAGGTACTCGATCAAGCCCCAGATTACGGGCAGTGGACGGACTCATGTAAGGAGCTTCAGGCAGGCCATAGCCGTGCACAACACAGTTGTTGATGGCCTGGATCAGGTCCCGCTTGCGAGCAAAGTAACCCCTCAAGGGGCCAATTTGGGCCATGTATGCTCGCCTCTTCAGGTCTTCCGGAACTTCTTGCACAGCTTCCTTGACCTCTTGGATAAATTTAGTTGCGGGGGACTCGGGGTCGAGGTCAGGCTTGCTCATATCGACCGTAGCAGTCGTGAAGGTCTCCCTGTCTTGGTTGATTGGGATGCCTTCTAGTTGCCTGTCGAACTCAGGCACCTCTCCTCGGTGGGTGAGAACCCAGCCCTCGCCAGTCTTATTTGCACGCGCCGTGCGGCCCAGACGGTGAATGTAAGTGGCTCGGTCCCTGGGGATACTGATTTGGAAGACGTGAGTCACATCGGGGAAGTCCATGCCACGAGCTGTCACATCGGACGAGAAAAGGATGGCAGACTTAGCGGCCCGGAAAAAGTCAGAGGAGCGCGTTCTCCGAGCCTGACTAAGCTGGGAATGAATTTCGTAGACACGAACACGGCGTAGCGGATGATGACGCTGCTCGAGTATGTTGCGGAAAGTCTCATAGACCAAATTAGTCTGCACGGTTGAGTTGAAATAGACAATTGCCTTGAACGGGCGCTGATTCGGATTCTCCTTTTCCCCCTCGACATATTTCGTCACAAACTCGAGAAGAGCAGGCATGGCATTCTCGTAGCCTCTAAGAATAACGTATTTCTGAGGAACTGTGAGATGCGTAGGGACTTCGTCATCTCGCACGGTCTTGA